CCCCTGGAGGGCCGGGGCCGGGTGGCCCGGCTTTGCCAGGACATCCCGAGCCCTGCAGCGCCGGCCGGGGCACCGCGATGCCTCCGCGGCTTTCGTACCTCACCCGGGCTCAGCCCGCGACCGAAGAGCTGCCCACAGCCGAGCGCCACGACGGCGGTCCCAGCCAAAAGAGACAACGCTGCCCCAAGTCAGTAGACGAGGCCGCGCGGCCCCGTTCAGCCCGCCCTCGACGCATCGAGAGCGGGGAAGGGGATCATACAGATGGGAAAGGTCTTGTGACCTTACGTGCATATAGGCACCAGAGCTCCCGTAAACCTCCTCAAGGAAGTGGAGGTGCTGCCTAGAGAGTTGAACTAATCAGCCCTGAATTTCCACTATTTAGTAGTCAAGGATTAGTTTTTCTTGCGGGTGTTTCAGTGTTGATGGTCGCTGCATTGGTGTATTGCAGTTTTAACTGGGACCACAGTATCCTGCTGTATAGGATTCATATATTAAATATTATGTGGGGATTGTTTTTTGGGTTTTTTTTTCCCTTATATACATAATAACAGGATTTCTGTTGCTAGGCTTGACATCAGCTTCACTGTTTGTACATTTTTATGTAAATAGTTGTCACAAAAGCAGAAGAATTATTTATTTCCATCTCTGAATTCCTTTTCAATCACATCCAGGAAAAATGATTCTCAGCTCCTAAACACATTTGTTTCCTTATTTAAAAGATATTTATTAACAGTTGGCAAAAATGCATACACATTTCTGGTTCTTTTCATAGAGCAGTTGTCAGAAGCCTTTTGTACAAACTAGCAAAATAAATCATTGCAACTTTGCAAAAGATATCCCAACAACTTTGTGTATTTGTGTGGTTATTCTGACTACATCCAAAGAAGCTTTCCAGCTGGGCAGTTTTTCTTACCTTGCGCCCCTGTTTTAGGTACGTCACTCTCTGTGCATGGGCAAAATCGGCACATATCAGTATCTGATGCAGTCTCTTCAGTCCAAATACAGCAGAGAAGAATATGAAAAAAATATGAAAATGTTTTGCAGACTGCACTGCAAAGATCCATGATTGAATTATAGTGCAGCTGTCAGCAGCTGTTTCAAAGAAGCAGGGGGTAAATTAGTTCTGTTTACTGCTAACATAGTTCAGAGATTTAGTCATCCCAATAAAATTATAGAGGCACAAGAAAGGAAAAAAAGAAACTCCAAAGGAACATCAGCCAAGAAGTTGACATTTTCTAATTTAGATTGTTTTAGCATATTTCAGAGATGCTGCTGGCATGAGGTTTCCTACTGTGGATACCACACTGCATTGCTATGGAGGCAGCTGAAGAAAATCATAGTCTAAATCCCTGTATTAAGTAAACATTATATCTTTGGGGCATAACAGCAATTTTTGTGTTCTTGTTTACTTTGAACTGTGAGCAAAGTTGTGCCAGTTTACGTAAATGTATTTGCTGATCCAGAGGATTAAATCATCAGCATTTTGAAATTAAATTTCCATCTTTCACAACTGATTACAAATTCATAAGTAAATTTGCTTCATGCACCGATCCGAAGCCCAGCAAAGTGTCAGTGGAAAGACCTTTATTAACCTAAGTGGTGTTTATTCAGGTTTTGTATGCCTAGACTGATTTTAGAAGGAGGATCTTCCGGTAGTTCTCAGTATGGAGCCAATTCTCCTCATTTAGGACCAATGCAAGTCAGAGGTCCTTCCAGCAAGGGGTCGGGGGCAGAGGACAAAAAAATAAAAATAAAAAAAAAAAGTCACGCTTTATGGAACCAATCTCACCATAGAGCAGCCAACAGAAGCTTTACCACTAACTTCAACAAGTCCAGCCCTATATCATGCAACATGAGTTGGTTTCCAGCTCTGCCACAAACACACAGTTTGCTGGACGCGCTCCGCAGCGGCTTCCCCAGCCCGGGAGCCAAGGCTCGGCTGCCGAGCGCGTCGCAGCCTCCCATCCGTCCGCAGCGCTACTGCGGCTTTGTCTCTTCATCTACTGTTTTGGAAGAGGAATTCTCGACGTGAAACCGTATGTTGCCATAAACTGGCAGGGCCATAAAACACTAGCGAACTTCAAAAACTGCTAGATTTATCTCAGTAATGACATTTTAAAGCACATTTAGAACCTTTTATAGATCAGTTATTCTAACTTCCTCTTGGGCCAAACTCAGAGGATATTATGTTTGCTTAATTGAGAAGCTTTAGCTCTGTTCCAGGACTGACAATAGGATCTTTTGGTCCTTAAGCAGGAAACAGCCTCTGTTGCTGCCAAGGTTCATATAATAAAAGATAATTTAAGTGAGCCTAAGTGTAATTTTAAGAATTCTGATTTTTATGGAAGTGTCAGTAGTAAAGCCCAAAAACGGAGAGGGAGAGCAGAGCTAGCCCGAGCGCGGCTCAGGGGCAGCGCGGGACTTCCTCCGCTGCTCTATTCAGTCCTTTCAGCTCTGCCTGCAATTGGAACAGACACTTTCTGGATGAAGTAAACGCCAAAAAACCCTCATCTTTTGAGTTTGGGATTTGTATCCTCAGCATATTTCCATACAAATACCCTGCTTGCTGACTCCTATTGCTGCCATGGGCACGTTATTCCCTGTATTTAGCTGTTCCTTTGCAGAGAAAGGCTGCTCAATTAAGCAAAAAGGGAGCCTGTTTGAAGTTTTTATTTATCAGGTAATGATTGACGAGAGCTTGAGGCAAAAACTAGGAGCACTTTATACTACAGTCTTTCATTACCTAAGTGCAAAAGCAACACAAATAGGTTATTATGGCTGCTTTGAGTAACTCCATTTTAAATAAAAGAAAACTTCTTTTCCCTTTTTCTGCTTAATGCAGGAGACAAGTTTTATATTCCTAAACCAGGACCTAGGAAAGATCAGAAAATGTAAAAAAATAAATCCACACATTGGACATGCTTCATAGCGTGCAGACCTTCATCCTCCTAGGGCTTATTTGCTGACCAGGCAGTAAGAGAGGACTTTTGAGTTTTAACATTTTGAGTGTTAGTTAGATGCTCTGAGGTTTGCTACCTCGATACAAATCTGCCATTTTCCCCAATTAATAGAGTCCTGCTGTTTAAATGAATTCTATAGGCAAAGAGAGCACAACCTTTAGACAGCTCTAGCTGGGTTTTACATTTAAAAAGATAAACAGACAAGTCAGATTCATCTCCTTCATGTTTTTTCCATCAGGGAAAAGTACTGGGGATAACAGGAGAGAGAAAAGGGCTACAGCCTCAGTCCCAGAAACACTCAGAAAGGTAACTTCTCCCCTGACTAACCATTTTGACCATTTGTGCAGCCATGGTTAAGCATTTAACTACTTGCAGAATGAGGCTCTACATGGGGCTGCTTGCTTTAACCTCGCGCTCAAAGAACTGGCTTGCTTGGCTGAAAGAAAACCTAGTCCCCGGCCAGTAAGCAGTAATTTGGGGGATGGAGCCTGCACATCTGGGTCCAAAGGGTGAGTGGCTGCATTCCCTGCCCTGTCCGTGGGCTTGCACATAATGAGAAATGTACAGGAACCCTTTCTGAACTAGAAGCTGAAGCAGCTTCAGAAGTGGGCAGAGTTAGCAGCTCGGTGCTGCTGTTAACTTTGGGCTAATGGTCTTAGTTTAGGCTCCTCCTAAGGAAAAGGAGGGGATAGCAGGACCTCAGCTGATTCATCATGCTTTAGTGCATCAGCACCTGTAGGTCAAGTCAGGCCAGTGCTAGATCTCCAGAGCAGCACATGCAAGTTTGGGAAGTCACCAGGGTTGTGGGGTGCAAAAACCCTCTCGGAGACCCTGGAAACCTTTCCTCCCTGCTCTCCCCCCGATCATCATGCAACCTCTCCACTAAGGCC